GCCCATGGGTTCTACCTTAGAGTTATAGGGTTTATAGGGGACCTTTTGGTTTCAAGGATTATTAGCCACGGTTTAGGGCTTAGGGTTTAGGGGGTACAGGGTTTAGGGCTTAGGGTTCAGGGTTTAGGGTTTAGGGTTCAGTGCAACGGGCTTAGGGCATACTTAGAGGATCATGGGACTTAGTAGGTAAGGTTATAAGTCCCTCAATTGGGGTTATAAGTAAATATAAGTATAGTTACCTTAGTTATAGCCCTACTTACTAAGTCCCATGATCCTCCAAGTAGGGGACCTTTTGGTTTCAAGGAGTCTTGTAGGGGTGAGGGCCTATAGGGTTTAGGGTTTAGGGCTTATAGCGTTTAGGGTTTAGGCTTAGTCTACCTTTTGGTTTCAAGGAGTCTGATAGGGCTTAGGGTTTATAGGGTTTAGGGTTTATAGGGTTTAGGGTTTGGGGTTTAGGGTTTAGGGTTTAGGGTTAGTATTCTACCTAGACTCTCCACCATTGTAGTTCCTTTTGAGGGCTACCTTTTAGGATTCTGAATGTAGAATTGGTTAAACCGTTTAACCAAAAGAAAGGAATTACCAAGGAGACCATAGGTAGGGTTTGTCAAAGCTAAAAACCCTACCCTAAACCCTAAACCCTAAACCCCAAACCAAAAACCCTGAACCGAAAATCCCTCAGCCCCCAGACCCATAAAGCTCTTGACCTGAACTGAAGGCCTAAACCCTGGGACCCGAAACCTTAAACTCTAAACCCTAAACCCTAAAAGTTTAGGGTTTAGGGTTTAGGGCCTGGACCCTAAGCCCGATGCCCTCAACCCTGAACCCTGAACCCTAAACCCTAAACCCTGAACCCTAAACCCTGAGCCCTAAACCCTACACCCGAAGCACAGGGTACCCTAAGGCCACGCCTTCAGGTGGCTTGCTCGGCGATGGAGGCTCAGATCTGATCCCTTGTTTTTCTTTGTTGTTGATTGGGGAGGTGTCGTAGCTATAAGGCTCTCAAGGGTTTAAGGGTTTAGGGTTTAGGATTAAGGGTCTGGGAATACCGACTGTTTTTTTTTTTTCGGTTTAGGGTTGTGTTGTTTTGCCTTGGCTTCTTCTATCGTGATCATACCCTAAACCCTAAGCCCTTACCCCTCTAAACTCAAAGCCTTATATACATCTCTAAACCGCTGTTATCTCCTGACATGTATTTGCTGCTACCTTCAAACAGGCGTGGAGGTGGGTTTCCTAAGCCCTATAAACCCTACACCCCTAAACTCTATAAGCCCTACACCCCTAAACCCTATACACCCTACACCCCTAAACCCTATAAACCCTACACCCCTAAACCCTAAACCCTAAACCCTATAAAC